TTTTTAAAAAATATAGTAATATTTTTTAAAAATATTACTATTTTAAGAGTGCTAAATACTAATTGGGGATATCAGTTGATACCCCTAGCAAAGAAAATATATGAAAGAACTTGGAGGGAAAATTTGAAGCTGAAAATTACAGATGGAGCCCCAGAAGTTCCTAACTGCGGATTCATTTTTGAATTTAACATTGTGCTAAATAGGTTTCTAACATCTGTGCTACCTAGTAGCTTCAAACTGGGAACTGGACACTCTGGAATAAAGAAAATGAGTGCACACACAGGCAAAAACACACAACAAACATACTGAAAGGACAGTTATTAGAACCAAAAGAACACTAAAATAACCTTACTAAGTGGACAGCATGATCAATTTCTTCAGTAGTTACACCTGCTTTCACCATCATGGCAGCAACATCCAATACTTCTCTAGCAAGCTGCAAATAAGGAAGACAAAAACAAAACAAAAAAACTTATTTAAAATGAGACCAGGTATAATACTTAGAAAGTTAGCAATACATTTGCGTGAAATATATTGAGACTACTGGAAAAGCTGGGCAGACTGGGACTTTTAAAAGATTTTGAGGTGTCTATATTTTGTATTAATAAGACATCAGGGACACTTAAATACATTCCTTAATATTAAGATTTGGACCACAGATCCCTTAAATATTGCAAACATAAAAGAGACTATTTAATTACATTTCAGAGCAAAGACTTTATGCACAAGGAAATGATCACAGTGGAATAGTTCTTATTCAGGAACCTGCGATAAGATTTTTCGAGAATAAAGGAACTTTGTAATGAAAAACACAACCTCCTTACCCTACAAACTACCCGCATCCCTTCTATATCCTCAGATGAGAGGATTTTTATTTGAGAGGTTCCTTTTAAAGCCTGTTCTGATTCAGACATTCCTGAAAATTAAAAAAAAAAAGAGAGAGAACATGATGTTATACAGAGGAGCAATTGCTAGACAGTTCCAAACCAAGCAACTTCCTTATTTTCCCAATGGTAATAAAAGTATGCCTCTTTTCACTACAGACAAATAATGAACCCACCAGTAATAAAAGCATTATCACCATCACCCAGCTTTACTTGGATTCTTAAGCCTTCCACCACCTTTTAATGCCCAGAATTCAGGATCCATCCACTTGCTGGGCACAACCATCATGCCCAGTTGGTTATAAGCACTCTCAGTGCTCAGAAATGGTTTGAGTGTATTCTCAAATGCGCTCTCACAAAGTGGTAAAGGGCACTCACATAGCTGAATGGGCCCCTAAAATGCAGCATTGCATTGTTTAAATATTTATATTCCCTAAACAGAGTGAAGTCACTGAGAATGGCCTTAAAGAATTCATATGCTGCAGCTGACTTGTGTGACAGGTTTGTAGCTGCTTATCAAGTAAGCCACAGAGGTGGGACTTACTGGGGTGTTTTTGTTCTTCAGAGGTGTATAGGAAAGAGAAGACGACTCACTACAAACTCCGGACTTCTATGAAATAATTGTAACTATATTTTGGAAAAGATCAATAAGCTACTGTAACGGAAGAAGAGGCCCAAGTGAGAAGAACAAATAAAAGAGAATCCCTTTTCCAGCATCTCGATGCTTTACAGGCTTCTTCACCTGAAGAAACACACATGCACACAGGTGTAACACACGGCAATTGTGATTTATTTCAAGTTACCTAGCGGGTGATCGGCATAATCCGGTCTCTGAATATAGCTTGGCACAGGCCTTGTTGGCGTCTAAATAAATCATAGTCAAAGCTGGTTAGACTGCAAGAGTATTTATTACTGTCATAAAAACAGAGGAGACCCATGCAGCAAAGTCAAATACAGTGAAACATGGCTAATTCCACTGTAGGCAAACACCCCACAACACCTCCTGTCAGCAATACTCAGCAAAGATTGTAACTCTTTATATTAGACAACCTCTAACAGCCACCTCCACAGCTTTGTAAAAGCAATTCTATTTGTCAAATAAAAAAATTTGCTTTTGTAATGCATTATCATTGTTATATTCTAATGTATATTATGATACTTTCCAGACTGCATATGCTCTGGTTCCAGATGCACTTTCCCTTCTTTTCATTATTTGTACACACTGGTGATATTGTTGTCTTTAATTACCACCCTATTTCTTAGGACTTTTTTCTTATAATTTTATATACAGCAGCTGGGGGGACAAAGAAAAAAAAAACAACAAAAAAAAAAAACAAGGGGCTTAGTAACAGCACCGTTAACTACATGACCAGGGAAACATCAAAAAGACCCTTTTTTCCAGTGCTACCGATAAGCACACAAGGTCTCAGGGTCTGTAAATCTATTCCCCCAGTCTGTAACAGATGGAGAAGACTACGGAGAGGATGCTAGGTTTCTAAATAAACCAATTATTTAAATGCTAAATGTGGAACCTTTTCCTGCAATGCTGAAACAGAGCGACATTTGCTACTTACCAGTGGATAATGCGGTCTGAGTTTACCCGTATATCGATAACCAGACCAGGGGTTTGTGTTAATATCACCTTCCAAGGTCCAAGAGGAAACCTCACGTTTAGCTTTTTCATCTTCTGAAAAGAAAAATAAATTGCAGCAGCCTATCAAGAATAAAAAGTTTTGTATCGAGAGAGCAAACTGAAAGTATATAAATACAGATTTAATCCTACTTGGCTTTTTTAAAATGCTGCTGACAAACAAGTTTAGCTAATAATTTTCAACTTATTTTGTCCTTGGGTTTTTCACATTCAAAATTCACATTCAATTCATATGCCAACCGTATCTTTACCCAGTGGCAAACTGAGCAATGTCAGGACAGCAGTACTGAAGGCCCAAATGAAATGAAATTGTTATTGATGTCTATGTTCATAATCAGTTCTAAAACATGTTTCTGTGCTTGTTTTGATTCTTGGGGAGAAATATACTTCTGCTGAAAGACTCTCCATCTCTTTAATGAACAGTCCTGTACTGTAGCTGGGGGTTCCTCTCCTGCGCGATTTCTCTTAGTATTCAAAGACAGAAATTATCTGGGTGGGTAAAGGGCATTTGACTATGATTTTCAACACACAGGGTCCACTATCATTCTGTCCTGAGGGGCAGAGAGAGGGTACAGCCTCTTCTGCATTTCGGAACAGGCAGCATATGTGCTTTACAAGATGGTTTTAATCTGCTGGAGGTAGATGTAAAACTTATGCCTGATGTGATCCACTGATGCCTTCCTTCACAAATAACAAATTTAAGAGAGTAGATTGATGGCTGGCACATGGACGATTGAAGCAGGTCCTGATTCAAGCACTGACGCATCAAGCAAGATTGAAGCATTCTGAGCATTATCACAGGAAAAATGTACTTGGAAAGAGAGGGCAAAGGCTAGGGAAGAGTGTGGTAGCACTGATCTAACTCAAACCGCATAATTTAAGTTTGATTTATCTTTTCAGATCTCACAAGAATTAGGAGATGCAAAAAGTTGGCTACAGCAGCCCTCAACTTGAGTTCCTCAGAATCTGAGTGGCTGACATTAAGCCTTCTATTCACGTGAGTTTAGGTGAACAACACAGAAATAATAATAATAAAACACCCTCAAGTTTTTAACAGGTCATACTTCGGGTTCTCCTGGGATGCTTCAACACAGTTTATGACATGGAAGACATGACAGTTATCAGGACCAAACCCACGAAGACTGGGCTCAGCAAGAAGCCAGAAAGACTCAGGATTTAGCGGTATTGTCAAAAAAAATGCTCTCAGATAAAACAGCAGCAGTGGAGGACTGCACCAGAATTTGGCTTTTTGCCATGCCACTTTCTTTTTAATTCTAATTCCCTTTGCAGCAGAGCTTGATGGGATTGGCCTTTTGTTGAGGGTGGGAGGGTGCTGAATTTAAACTCCTAGATTATAGTTACTCCACTGGTGCTCCTTGTCTGTTGAAAGGGTTTTGACTGCTGAATCCAGTCAGAGCAGCAAGATTCTAATAGATTAGAAGGAAATAGAGGAAATAGCAGGCAGTGCTATCTACCAAACACTTGTTAACAAAGCTCAAGGAAGGGCATTATTGCACAGAGAAAGACATAAAGGAAAATCTATCAGTTTTTCTATACTACCAATGCTACCTGCTGTAACTGAAGCATACAGACACATTATCTTCAAATAAATTTGGCAAAACTCTTGCTAAAATACATCCTCCAACCAACTATATTAAACAAAGAAAAAGCAATGGATGATGAGATGATGGTGAGCGGGGTGAATGCACAGAAGGGAATCGTTTTCAAAACAGAATATTAGAACTGAATAAGGAATTTACTTACTTGCTTTCTTGTGTAATAACTTGTGAGTAGCCCAGCTTCCTTTAAAACATTCCTAGAATTGCAAACAATAGACATATATTTTAAGTAGTTTTATCTTGGGCAGGCATATCATTTCCACAAAATAAAAGAATAACTGTTATTTTAAAAAATAAAAATATATAAACCCTTGTAGCAACATGCAGTAAATGCTACTATAACTGACAATTGTAACACTAGAAAATATTACATTCAAGAGTCTGAGCCAGAAGAGGCAACAAGCATAGCCAAACAGATGCACCCACCAAAGGGAAATGCACTGATTTAATCTTCTCTACTAAATATTGTCGCCTTATGACTGTAATGAGTAACCGGACACCATGGATGCTGCAGGATGGTTGAATCCCTGTGCTGTTTGCTGGAACATGAGGCTCAGGGTTCACTGGGTCTCTCTCACTCCATACCAAGTCTCCTGGCACTGCAGTGGCGCAAGTGAGCCCCCCACGGTCCTACAAGAAGTCACCTCCTCCTGCTAGTTGCATCCTTCCTGCCTTCTTCTCCAGCATCAGGGAACAGCATCATAGCAGGTAGGCAAGAGAAAGAGATCAATTGGGAAAAAAAAAGAGTGGGGGCTATGGGGACTACTGAATAGAAATAGGAAAAAGAGAGGGAGAAAAAAGTAGAAAAAATAAATGAAAAGCAAGGAAACAGAATGTGAAGGGGCTGGTATTTTTCTCCTTCACCTGAGAATAGAAAGAAGTTAATAGGAGAAGGGGAAAAAAATCAATGAATCAGCAAAGGGGGAGATGAAAATGGTTGGCAGTTAAGGACAGTTTAAAATGAGGAAAAAAAACAGGTGAGCAAATGAGAGAGCTGAATAGGAAAGCTGCTGAAGAAGGCATTAAAGATTATCCTTTAGTGTACTAAGTAGGTAATTTATTGGTTTTGTAGCTAAAAGTCTAATTCACTGGCTGTGTGTACTTACAACAACTGTGTGAAAAGAGTAATTCCAAACATTTAGAGAAATATCTGAATTTCTGAAGTAACAGGCTGGAAGCAAACTTTTTTTTTTCCCCCTTTATAAGGGAAGATAATCCCAATGCTGACTCATCACCACAGGGCTGCTGACCAGCGCCAGAACGGATCCCACATAATGTATACATCCCCGAACCTCTCTGAGACAGCAGACCTGCCAACTAAACCCGGTGTAGCAGAGTCTGCCCCGGTTCCACGAGCTTTGCTGTGCAGGCATCACTGCCTACGCTAGCAGAGCCCCCTTCTGCCCGTTTTCTATGTAGTCTGCAACCAGTGCTTATCAACCTGCATCCACAAGACCACAGTACCTGGTACACAGATCAGCCAAGTTTACTCTTTGGTATTTCTCTCATTAGCAAAACCAGTTATTGCTGCAGGCTTCTCCTACACCATATACATGATTTTTGCCATTTTGCTGACCTGGCACATGATAGGCCAGGGAGATACATAAGGGTTCAGGCAACAAGAGGAAAACACGATCTTGAACCAACAGTGGAAGATTTTACCATCACATTTCTACAAACCACTGCACACACAGGCCTTCTGCTGCACCATTACCTTCTCTCTGCTGGAGCGCTAGGAGGAAAGGAATGGGTTTTAACTGAGACATACTTAAGGAAACAATAAAAAAGCCAAATTCCCTATTTTGGGGATACTGGCATGTTTTTGAACCCCTTCTGCTTCTGAACTGAGATCTGAGCTGCAAAGAAAAAGAAGGATTGTACAACTTAGGACTCACAGGGTCACAAGACACATTCACTATGGGGAAACTGAGTCTGCAGGTCTCACTTCTTGGGAGATAAGGGAGTATCTGGGGAAAGGAGAGACCAGTTGTGATAACCACTTGTGGCCAATTCTCCTTTTCCCTGAGCAATTTGGAGACATATTCTCCAAACTCATTCCTTTCTCTCCAAGGCTAGGAGTCTTTCCTCTTTCTGCACGCTCGGCAAACAGCACCACTAGCAGAATCTGACAGCCTCCATTTTGCCTTTTTATTTCCTGCAGCTGAAAGCGACACGAGGGTCCTGCGTAAGGCTGCCATATGTTTGAGTTTTCCCTAGTATGTTTCTCAGATTTTACTTGTCCTCTATTTCCAGAGAGGCAGCAGCTCAGCCCCAAGGACTACAGCGTAGCTTCAGGCAAGGCGCCGAGCACGCAGACATTGCCGGCGTGCACTGCATGTGCATCCATCAACTGCAGCCGCGTGCGTGGGGCAAGGCCTCGCAGCGACTGCACGCGCGCTGTACGATCAATAAATGCCCAAGTCTTGCTCTGCACTTCTGGAAAGCACTCTGAGGAGGTGCTGCTGCACATCCCATTTTTAACACTCGTTTAAAACCCATGCATTTTGTGTAGAATCATTTCCATGCTTCTTGGGGGCCCTGGCCTGAACAGATACCCATAACTCATTTTATACTGCACTAGCACTACATCACACATCTGCACAGCCTGGGCAATTCCAGACAAAAACACAGCAGCTCTCTCCATCGTGGCCACTTTCTGGAGAAGATTCTGTTTTTTGCTGAGCCTTCTCTGCTGAGCCTTCCCTCACTTCTCGGTGATTTCCACCCTAGGGACTCAGCCCAGTATCTTCTAGTTGAAATACTGGCAGAAGCACGCAATGAAGCAGAATTAGCTTTACACTAGAGTGCATTTTTGTCTAAACCACAATGATTACTACCAAATAGTGACCAAATAAACTGTAAAAATCAACACTTAAGAAAAAAATGAAGGGAAAAATAAATCCTTTCAAAACAGTTCAACAGCACTTACTGAGCTACTTAAAATTGACTTTTTCTTATTTTTATTGTCAGGTTTGCAGAGAATCTCTTACTCTTTGGTTCATGTATCCTTGTATCATGTATCAGTTACTACTTTTCCTGTGCAGGAAGCAGACTGTAAAAGGCATGTATCAAGTGTAAATCATTTGTGTATATAAACACCTACTGTTTACGCATACTGCATATAATTTACACAAAAGCGGCATATGCATCTCTCAAGGGATGCTGCGATAGCAAAGTCATCTTAGTACCAGGAACAATATTCTTGTGATGCTGAGCGTCTGTGTTTTTGCATTCAGAAGATGCAGCAGGATGTAATAATTCGGTCTGACACCCATGTAACACTGTAGAAGATGCACGCTTATAAAAGTAAGACAGTGAAAGAAGGTAGCTGGCAGTGACAATACCTTATTTATTAAGCTAAATGAAGATAAATAACTAGGATAATAAATGAAGATAAATAGCTAGGATAATGCACTTTACCAAGGAAAGAGGAAGCACAAACGACAAAATCCTAAGGTTATCTCCTCTCTACGCTGGGGTAGGATAACATCGTAGCTCTACCTAGTAGCTGATCACAGTTATTTATGCACCTAACCATGCCACGATGGAAAGAAAACTCTTTAAATTGAAGTCATGCAGCTCTGCCTTTTGAAGTCCACAGACAAAACAAACCCCAGTGTTAAATTCTGTCCACCGAGGAGGTAATGCTGGAGAAGTTTCATAAATGCTAAGCATCGCAGTGCTGCCAGCTGAAACCTGCTGGAAGTTCAACGTTTCCTGGCTTTTCAGACTCCTCTGCTTGGTGATACGGCCAAGGGCCAGGTTGTCAGCAGCCCCTCAGCTGCGCCCCTGACAGCACTTGATGCCACACAGGCCACTGCAGTGAGTCTCCAGATTCTCCACTGCACGCAAGAGATGCAGAGCGTTGATCCCCAGATGCCCTGGGCCCAAAGTGGGGAGCTGAAGCCCGTCGTTGCAGGCTGACCACAGGACTATGTCCCGACACAATATGTTTTTTGTGCACAGAGTTAATAAAATCTCTTCACTCTATATAAATTTAGCTGTGTTGGGAGTGGGGAAGTGAGGCATTGCTAGAATGTCCCTCATGGACCTCTCTGGTCCACGAACAAATGGTATTGTCATCATTGACTAGTGTTTGTACACGCTGAAGAAGCATTTGTATTCACTTTTATATCAAAGATGTCAAAATCGGTGGTAAATGCAGGGCACATCCTGCAAATCACCTATAAACATCACACCGGGGGAAAAAAAAAAGGAAGAATTTGTAATTGCAGTCCATCCAATTTAGCATCGACTCTCAACGTCTGGTATCAGAGGTACTTTCCCCTAAAAGTACCAGAAACTGTGCACTGGGTGTGTTATGCGCACGTGGGAAGATTTTCTGCCTAGTCTAATGATCAGTTTACACCTTGAAGCAGAAAAGATTAGTTTGCCCAGTTAATAAATGTATCTAGCTGATGTGACTGAAAGCATCTGTTACATTTATCTACAACATTTTAATCATTTTACCCTGAATTGCAATTCTGACAGTGAAGTCCACCATGGATCTTTGAATTAAATATGTATTTTCTCGACTAACAGCAGTGACACATACAGAAGATTCAAAGTACTAGGCTGTGTGTTTTACTGTAAATTTACAGTACAAAAAAAAAAAAGCACTCAACAACCACCGACACTTCGTTCCATTTAAATTAGGGAGTAAAGTTTATTAGCAGTGCTGCAGTAAGTCGGCAGAGCTGAGGCCTACGGAATATGGAATGGGGTTAGCCGAAGTTGATAGTTACATGACAACTGGCTCCACGTGAATCTCCCTGGGTGGCAGTCTTAAAACCCAAAGGATTTAAAGAAAGAAATAAAGAGAGAAACAAGCAAACAAATAAAAAAAGGTATCATCATTGTTCCTTGACACCCTGAGATGTCTTATTTAGTTAGAGGAAAGGGAAAATCTGCTTTGAGCGCAACAAGTCCTCCACGCCTATGGAAGCCACGCGACTCCAGGCACAGGAGCACATGCACCGGGATCTGACGAGTGCCTCTCCTTTACCCCATGAGGGGCGATCTGACAAATAAATAAGTAAATCCACGGTCAGACGGGTTGGGGACAGGGGAAAACGTGCTCCAGGGACGGCACTGTCACGACCTGCAGGTATCTGCGTTACCCACGGGCTCGAGCAGCTGCGGCCCGAAGGCCTCCCCGGCCCACAGGCTCCGGCTTGACCTGGAGCGGGGTGACCAAGCGCGGATCGCCCCTAAAATCCCCCAAAAAGCGGCTCTGGAGGAGGCAAGAGCTAAAGCCGGCCGGTGCGGGCCGCGGATCC